ATCATCATCATCATCATCATCATCATCATCATCATCATCATCATCATCATCATTATTATTATTATTTTTATTATAATTATTATTATTTCCCTCAAGACGCCAGGACGACCTAATGAGGCCACACATGGAGCAGAGACTCATAGTGTACATACAAGGCTAAGTACATTCCTAATAGGAAGCACAAGTCTGCTTTAAGTCACGTTCCTTGAATCTCATCTTTCAAATTCTGCCAATTAGATTCTTTTGAGCTAACCAGAACCCAACATGAATATGAAATCAATGTATGAAAAATACGTACGAAAGGCTCATGTAGCTGGCGAGAGAAAAACAGTGCGGTTTTTCAACAATAATATTATAACGGAAATAAGTATTTAAATGTCTATATCATGCTTCTACTATTCAACTGTATGTTATCGTGTGTTTATTGTTAGTGTACAAGTTTTACACACTTATCGTCGCTGGGGCCAACACGGTCTGAGAGATCCAAGGTTATCAAAATGCACGACAAATAGGCACATTTGATTTAAGAAAGATCTAAGCAACTTCAAGGAAATTTGGTCCTAATTTTGGAATCAGTGTTCGCGATCATTATTAGGAATACAACAAGAGACAGAAAAAAAGTAATAAATGTTTTATTAAAATGTTTCATATCTCAGGACAAACGACAACCCCATTCCCCAGTAAATAAAGAAACAACACCCCCTCACTCCTTGCAAAGCTTCTACAATTACAACACATTATATGTGAGGCAGCGTGGTGGAATCAGGCTCTCGTCAATTTTTGGGCTTGTAGGGATATTGGTATAATCGTAAAGCTTGTTCACTCGTCTTTATTTGGATGAAAAAAATATCCATTTATCTTGAATACAAGTCGAGATATTTGCAAAAGAAGGAGGTGGGCGTCACCCATTTTCAGAGGTAAAGTTAGTGAGAAATGGCCGCCAAAGTTTAGTTATTTCCTTAGCTTAAGAGTTCGTGGTAACTGAAAATTTACATTTTTCAGAAAAATCCAAACAGAAATGAGTTTTTTAATGGACATGAAAGGTGTTGAGACAAAAAGCAAAATTTTATAAAAGTTAAAAAACCTGCCGAAAAATGCAAGTTTCTTCACTTTGATTATTTTGACGAGAGCCTGATTCCATCACGCTGCCTCACATATGTCCCTCAACAACAAACAAAAGAAAACTGCAACACCAGAATAAGTCATGGGCATAGATCCCTCCGCCCGGACAAAATTCAAAATTTCGTACCAACTGAAATGTGTTTGGTGTGTCGCGCGCGCTCATTACGACCTTAGCAGTTGCGAGCGCCGTAAAATATTTACCGAAACAAAAAAGGACATAGCTCTAAACGATTTTGACTGTGACAATCTCGTGAAATCCACACTAAAACATAGTTTGAGCAAATCAGTTTTTGTTTGGTGGACATGAGCACACATGGTCACTTTTACGAACAAGGGGTCTATCCCGAAAGAAATAATGTTTTGAGAAAATCGAAGGTAAAGTTTTTGCCCCTTGTTCAGTTTATTTAAAAGTCAAGGAGGGTTGTCTTTATCGCCAAACTAATATACACACCAATGAAATCAAATTTTATAGATATGGCAATGCCCACTTTTGAGGTCGATCAAGATTTCTGAAACCCCCCAAAATCTGGGTTAGCCCGCTTGTCCTCAAAAGCGACCATTTGTCCATCAATAACAAACAAAACAAAACTACAAAACCAGAGCAATTCATGGACACAACTCTAATCGATTTTGAATGTTACTGTCTCCTGAAACGGAGACAAAGACATCATTTGAGCAAATCAGTTTTCGAGATGCAGACATGAGCACAAATGGTCACTTTTAAGCACAAGGGGTCTATCTCGAAAAAATGCTGTTTGAGAAAATCGAAGGTAGAATTTTTGGACCCTTGTTCAATTTCTCTAAAAGACTAGAAGAGTTTTCTCGATAACCAAACAAATATACACACCAATGAAGCCAAACTTCTCCTATAGGTAGGGCAATGCCCACTTTTGGTGGAGGTTAAGATTTTTGGAAACCACTGAAATCTGGGATAGCCCGCTTGTCCTTAAAAGCGACCAAGTAAGCAAGACACAATTGTACTGTGGTAAACTACATAGGGAAAGATACCCACCTCCACTTTCCCCCCTTCCTCACTGCCCCACCCCCAGCCCCACCCTTGCCGACATAACTTGAAAAAGAGAAAAAATGCAAACGTTGATATAAAGAGCGATAAGACACCATTATCATACGCTAACAATACATTGAAAAGAAGAAAAACAACAAAAAAGACAAACAACAGCAACGGCAAAAAACATCATCAACATACGTACGACATGACGGACAAAACTGACTGCAGCAACAAATAAATACCCCCACAAAAAACAAAACAAAAAACAAACAAAAACCCCCCCAATAACAACAACAAAAAACCCAACTAAAACAACAACAACAGAAACTAACGAACAAACCCCTAAAACAAAAAAACAATCCCACCAAAGTTACAAAACGAAACAACAGCAGCAAAAATACAACAATAACAACAAAACAGCAACACCAACAACAACATTAACAACACAACAACGCCACCAGTAACAACAACAACAACAACAACAACACCACCAACAACAACAATAAGACCAAAAAACAAAACAAATCCAGTTATCTAGAATGGACAATATGAGGCACATATAATAGAGTGCGAACTTATGTATAGCTCTTATCTGGCCAGAGGACATGGACAAAATGTGCTAATTACAACACATTTCCCTTCACACAGGACATGGGCAGATGTGTTCATGACAACATATGGTCGCTTTTAAGCACAAAGAGCTATCACGAAAAATGCTGTTTTGAGAAAATCGAAGGTGAAGTTTTTGGACCCTTGTTCAGTTTCTTAAAAAAACAAGGGGAGCTTTCTCCATAACCAAACAAATATACACACCAATGAAACCAAACTTCTCCTATAGGTAGGGCAATGCTTTCATTTGGTGTTGGTCAAGATTTCTGGAAACCCCCGAAATATGGGTTAGCCCGCTTATCCTTAAAAGCGACCATATATTTCTCTACACACAGGACATGGACAGATGTGTTCATGACAACACATTTTCCTACACACAGGACATAGACAGATGTGTTCATGACAACATATTATTTCCTTAAACATAGCACATGAACAGGTGTGTTCATTACAACACACGTGTTTCGAAACATTTAATGAAATCAGTCACATTTACAAAAGTAATAAGATGAGCAAAATAAAACGCACTTCTCTTTTTTTCAAAAACAAAACAAAAACAAAAATGCATACATTTATATTGTGTGACGCGTAGGATGAGGTGGGGGAGGAGGAGGAAGAGGTGGAAGAGGAGGAAGATGAAGAAGATGAGGAGGATGAGGACGAGGATTTGAAGGAGTTCTTTTGTCTCTTTGCTTGCTGAAGGGAGGTGTACGTGCTAGTCATAACCACGTCTGGGGCGTTGATGTCATCCGCAGACTTTTGACGCTTTCTCTTCTCAGTGAGTTCTTGGAATGTGAGTCAGAGTTCTGGAGAGAGCCGTGCATGCAGTATCCTTGGCAAGGGCTGTGCTGCTTGTAACGGGCAGACCTGTAGTGGAAAAGGGCGCGCAGTTGTCGTCTGAAATACGCGCCGGTGATGGAATAGAGGAAGAAGTTGATGCAGTAGTTCATGCAGAAAATGGCGCGCGTGATCAGCGCCAGACCCCGGAAATAATCCAGCTCATCCGGGTCTTCAAAGGTCTGCACGTTGACGAAGCGTGACGTCAGGAACAGCTTACACCAGATGGCGAAGTAAGGCAAGTTCAAGGCTACGAAGCAGAAGGAGACGACCAAGAGGATGCTCGTGAACTCTAGCCTCAGGACGCTCTCCTCCGTGACTACTCGAACCAGACGTTGTTGTCTGTTGTGCTTGACCAGTCGCCGTATGATGAGGATATTGATGACGGTGATGATGACAAAAGGGATGAAGGTAATGAAAACGGCGTATATGGAGTCGAGGACGAAGGAAAGTTGTCGGTGCTGAGGGTACGTCGTGCACATGGGACCCCACAGCTCCACGTCGTGCACCACGCTCAAAAGCGGCTTAAAAATGTTGATGACAAGCGAGAAGACGGTGAAGCCAAAGACGATCTTCTTGGTGGAGGTCGGGGAGCAGATGTGGCGGCGGTGCAGGGGGTGACACACGCCGATGTACCGCTCCACTGTAAACGCCACCACCAGCCAAGCCGACAGAAACCTGGACACATAATGAAAGTACATGATCACCTGACACGCCCCGTTCACGTGCATAAAAGTCACCTTGGTATCTGGGCTCAGCACGGGCACCCCTCGAATCAACCATTCCGTGAGCACGTAGAAAATCAAGACCATCAGATCAGAAGTGGACAAGGCGGCTAAGTACGTGCTGGCTGATAAATGCCGCATGGATTTACACAGAAACACGCTCAGAGACACGCTATTTCCCAAGATCCCCGTGACGAACACGAAAGGCGTGAAATAGGCGTAGAACAAACTGCCCACCACCAGAGCCGTGACTTTGGTGTGGTCTTCCTCTATCTTGGACAGGGTGGAGCAGTTTGTGGCGTTCATCTGCAAGTCCGGATGTTCGGCGAGGAGCCCCAGCAGCTTATACAGCTCCCTGTTCTCCTCTACTGTCGCGCACATGCTCGAGTTGAGAGATGTGCTCTGGGGGAGAGAGAATCGAGAATATTGAGTTAGAGTCTGGATGAAGTAGTTAAGCAATGTTCACTCTACCAGTCATGCTTTACCTCCTACGCACATGCTTGAGTTGAGAAATGTGCTCTGGGGTAGAGAAAATTGAGAATATTGAATTAGGGTCCGAACGAAGTAATTAAGTAGTGGTCACATATTCATGTTTGACCAGTCATGCTTTAACCACGCACATACTCAAGTTGAAAGATGTGCTCTGTGGAAGAGATAAACTAGAACATTGGATTCGGGTCTAAATGAAGTAATTAAGTAGTGGTCACATATTCATGTTCGATTAATCATGCTTTACCAACACACGAGCTCAAATTGAAAGACGCGCTCTGGTAAGAATATTTATTTATTTTTCTAAATATACAAATCAGGTAGCTTTCATAGTGACCAAGTTTTTGTTGGGGACGAGGGGGGGGGGGTCTAAAAAACCCAACGAAACAAATAGCATTCATAGTTACAACGCTTTCGTTGGGGGCGGGGGAGGGGGGGGGGAGGAGGCGGAGAATCGAGTAAGATTTGTTTTTAAAATAAAGGGGATGGGGTGACGGGAAATGAAGTTAAAAAAAAGAAGAGAATTAGGTATTATCTTTACAATCATGTTCGATCTGTTAGGTGCATCACGTGATTCGAATTCAGGTCCTTTGCCCGTGTAGTGAAAGACGCCGGTGCACATAATATGTGAAGCGTGCTGACAAAATGAGTTACTTTTCAGATTTGAGCCCTATGAAAATAGATACATTATCATGCTTAAAGGTTAATTTTTTACAATTTGTAAGTATGACATAACATTTAGTACTTAATTAATATTGCATCAATATAAAACCTAGAAACTTGTCCCTAGTGTCGATTTTTGGCAAATATCTGCATTTGTGGATTGCGAGAAGTAACCCATTTTGTCAGGACGCCTCACATATACATGTAATATTTTTCTCTTTACTCTATCTAAAACAGCCTTGAACCTCCTCAATTTGTGTAGATGACCAAACCTAGGTTGAGCGTGTCGTAAAACACAATCACAATCCTGGAAGTGCGTGTCTGTCTTTGTCTGTTTCATTCAGTTCGCACGCACTCGGGAAATGTCTTAAGGGAAAATCTCCACACCAGCTTTGTCCAACCACATCAACCAACATCTGTGTCTAAAATTACTATTTGTACAGAAAACAAGGTCTCCCGGATCAAGTTTCAATTTAATGAGGGCATCGCAGGGACGCCAGAATATTTAGAAATGTCAGTTTTCATTCTCACCAGAGAAGTCGCTTGTCATTCTTATTGTGGCAAAAAGCTAATCTTACCCCCTTTATTGCCTTTAGACGTATATGGTATATTACAAAAATGCGTCATTATTAGTTTTGTTTTTTTAGCTTCGTGCCATACCATAGATGACACGCACGGAAGTCGACAAAATTTGCCTTTCCTGTTTGCCAATGACAAGACGACACGTGTTACAACGTGTTGGAATCAGGCGCTCGTCAACTTTTGGACATAATATGGACTTACTGGTATCCTCATAAAGCTTGTTCACTTGTCTTGCTATCGTTGAACAAAAAAATGCCCATGTATCTTGAATAGAAGTGGAGATGTTTGCTATTGAAGGATGTAGGGGTAACCTGGTGCAAGTTAGCGATTGGCGAGAAGGCGAACACCCCCCTAAAAAAAAATCCCACCCCCCACCCCCTTAAAAAAACCCGTCCAAAACATAAACTAGGTTTCTACTTTGATCATAAATCATGAAACCAAAATCGAATCAATCACCTGCGCTTGACTACTGTCATTCTCTTCTAGCTAATTTAAGTCTGTAACTGATTAATAGGCTGCAGTGATTCCAAAGAAAAACCCCACAAAAGAACACATCACACCTTTTAAAAGTAAAAGTTACAGCGACTGCCTGTTAAAGTCTAGAATTGGTTACTAAACTATTCTTCATGTCCTAAGCACATGGACAGCAAAAAGCCGCAATATTACAAAAACCATATATGCTTGAGTCATAATAAATGCACCAACCATCAAGATATTACAGATTTGTGGACGCAAATCTCATGAGAGTGCCAAACGAAAGGCCTGACACGTTGGGCGGAAGTTATCATTATTATTACCATTATTTTTATTATTTTGTCAACTTATATCTCTTTATCTCAAATCAGACATTTAAGCCCGAGAAGACTTACGGGCATTTTTACCCTCATTGTATTTTCTTTCCATTATGGCGGCGCGTATAGACCGAAGAGTGTTTTTGATATGAAGGAAATTATATATTATTTTCCACCATTTTACTGGCTAAATGCGTAGGTGGGGTGGCTTTTTCTTTACATTTTTGAGTGTCATTGCTTATACCTACGCGAGGTAAGCGTGTATTTAGTTGAAATTGTTATTCACTTTGTTTGTGTATGTCGTTTTAGCAGAAACCACAATATACAGACTAAGGATGGACGTTATTCTTACTACATTACATTACTAGTAACTGATCATTGGCATAACATTGAACTAACTCTCAGGCAGTGGTATAATGCTTTTTTATATGTGAATCCTAAGGCAATTGTGAGTTTGTGTATTTGTGTGTGTGTATGAGTGTGTGTATGTGTGTGTGTGTGTGTGTGTGTATGTGTGTGTGTGTGTGTGTGTGTGTGTGTGTTATTGTGTGTGTGTGTGTGTGTGTTTGTGTGGAGGGGAGTGCATGTGATTATTTATTATTAACTTTACTGTGTACTCATGTTTCATAGCAGATTAACGCAGCTACATGGAGTTTAGGCACACTTGTTTGATATTCTTTTATGGTTTTCACTTCTACAGTTGTTATTTGGTGGCTTTTAAGCACAAGGGGGCTATTCCGATAAATTATGTTTTGAGAAAATCGAAGAAAAATGATTTTACCACTTATTCAGTTTCTTTAAAAGATGAGGATCGTTTTCTATATAACCAAACACATAAACACCAACGAAACCAAACTTCTCTTATTGGTAGGGCAATGTCCACTTTTGGTGTAGTTCAAGATTTCTGGAAATCCCCGAAATCTGGGCTAGCCCACTTGTCCTTAAAAGCGACCCATTTTCAGTGCTCCCCTAAACGTGACTTATTTTTTTCCGGTGCTCACCAAGACGTGATTGTTATATTTTCTGTGCCCAAATGTCGGAATCATGATGAGCCAACAACTATTTTTAAAATCGTAAAACATGTCTTATTTTTTTCTTCTTTTCTCGCCTAGATGTGACTGTTATTCTTATGTTCTTACTTCGACGTAACTGTTCCTTTTTCTCTCCTAAATTGTCTAAATCATGAGCCAGCACCTATTTTCAAAATCTCAAAATGCGTCTTTTTTCTGTGTTTATCTAGACATGACTGGGTGCTTTTCTGTGCTCACCTTGGCGTGACTCTTATTTTTTTTCTGTACTCATCTAGACATGACTGTATATTTTCTTCGGGTACTCATCTAGACATGACTGTATATATTCTTCGGGTACTCATCTAGACATGACTGTATATTTTCTTCGGGTACTCATCTAGACATAACTGTATATTTTCTTCGGGTACTCATCTTTATGTGTCGGTTGGTTTTTTTTTCATTGCTCACCCAAATGTGACTGTTCTGCTATTTGTTCCTCTGCTCACCAAGATTAACTCCTATTTGTTTATAGGGGGACTGCTATTTATTTGTTCTTGTGTTCACTTTGACAGAACTGTTATTTTGTTCAAGTACTATTCGTTACTATCAGCGTCTTTTGTGTAACGGTTATGCGCCTTGATATCACAAGTAGGAGACGTAGGCTCGATTACCGTATGGGAAGAATTATTATCGAGTACATGTTAGCGTAGATCGTCACGATAGTACGGTCAAACAGCAACAACAACAACAACAACAACAACAACGACAACAACAACAACAACAACAACGACAACAACAACAACATCAACAACAACAGCAGCATCAACAACACCACCACCAACAACAGCAACAACAACAACAACAACAACAACAACAAAAACAAAAAGCAACAACAACAAACAGCAACAACAGCAACAACAACAACCCCCCAAATCATGAAATGTGCAGTTACCTTGAGCTGACTCTGGAGGGAGACTTTTTATTTCGACTAAAAGTCTACCAGCCCCAAGAGAGAGGCGAATTAATTTAATAAGAACGTGATCGGATTAAAGGGGCTCAGTTTGCCAGCCCTGACTTTTAGGATAGTAAATTGAAAGGAGACCCCCAAAGGAGCTTATTAGATCAATGTAAAACGACTGTAAACTCGGACAAATGAATCTTTAAAATTCAGCTGACTCCCCTTCCTCCTAACACAACCCCTAACCCCCCTCTCCCCCCTTCGTCCTTCTTCAAGGTAGAAAAACCACAAGCTTTTTCTTAAGGCCGGTTATTCCTTAAAAATAAAATTAAAAAAACACCCCCCCTCCTAAAT